GAATGCCGCCCCAAGCACCTGGAAAGCTGGTGTCTGGAGCCGGCCCTGCCTCTCTCACTGTGGAGGAAGATATGCAGGGCTTCCCCCCTGCCCAATTATGAATTGCAGAAACTGGGTTTTAGAATAAACAAAAAACAAATGTATTAAAAACAAAAGGGAAATTTTAAGTGATTATGAGGCATAGCAAACAGATCAGAGCAGATTACTGAGTAAATAAGACAAAACACGCAAACTAAGCTTAATACACTAAAGAATGCTGGCTACAAATAATAATTTCTCACCCTAAATATTGTTTTAAACAGATTGCAGAGTTTCTTGAGGGTAAACTGTACTGGTTGCACCTTAAATCTCCAAGTATTCCTTTCACAGGCCAGACACCTTCCACCCTGGGTCCAGTTCTTTCCCCAGTTCAGTCTTAGGTGTTTCCAGCAGACATTTTGGGTGGGGATTCTGTGAAGAACTGACCATGATTAACTCACTCCCCAGCCTGAAATAGGATTTATATATGGCAGGAATCCTTTGTTTCCCAGTTTGATCTGCACCCCCTCCTAATGGGAAAAATACTAGCAGTTCAAGATGGTGTCCAGTACCAAGTGACTTTATCACCTGACCCTGCAGTGTCCAAAGCAGCATCCCAGGAAACTTCTTAGGAAGGAGGGATATTAGCATCTTCAAAGACCTATTGTTCTCCCTAATGGCCCATCCAGGTTGACTGCATTCTGTCTGGTGGGTGTTTCCCCAGGTACAAACACAGTTGTAATTGTTACATAATTCATAGTCTTAACTTTAGATACAAACATGGTACATGCATACAAATAGGATAATCATATTCAGTAAATCATAACCTTTCCAATGATATCTCACATGACCCATCTTGCATAAAATACATCTTAGTTATGCCATATTCATATTATAACAATATTTCTGTGAAGAATATGGGGTGTCGTGTCACAAAGGGTCCCTGAAAAGAGACGAGGAGATAGGGCGGGAGGGAGAGGAAGAACTAATTCAGGAGTGTATCCTGGTCCTATTGTGCATAGCACCCAGCTATCTGAGGTGATATGGGCCCACGCCCGATAGAAGTGGGATAGCCAGTCCACAAAAATAGGGGAGGATGCCATCCACGGGTACACCCTCAAAATGCCTGCTTGGTGCCAGATGACTGCCTGGTGGGCCCAGATCCCTGTATCGAAGAGAATTAGAAGGAGGTCGCCTCTTGTAATTCCTGCCCTGCCTTTGACTATAGTCTTGTCTCAGTTGTGACCTGTAGAACTGAGGCAATGGCTGTAACTTGAAATGTTTTCTCAGTAGGGTCATGGTGTGCGGTCCCAAAGACTTCAGCATGGCCCTGGAGTCCTTCAAGCTGTGCAGTTTGGCATCCATTTGCTCAGAAACCTGTGCAGTGCCTTCAAAAGTCAGGGCTTGGATTGTCTGCTGCCCCTCGTGAGGGAGGCCTGAGGTCTGCAACCGAGAAGACCTTCTCATAACCACCGCCAACACCATGGTCTGCTCAGCTAAGTCAGCTACAGCCAGAGACACCTGCAGGGATGCCTTTGCTACCACCCTGCCCTCCTCGACCAAAGATGAGAACTCTGCTCTGGACTCCTGGGGCAATTTAAATTTTGTCATTGCTCCCCAAATATTAAAATAATATTGGCTACAGAGCATTGCTGATTCGCAACACAAAGCTGGAGCCCCCCTGTGGCACAGATCTTTCTGCCGAAATGGTCCAGCTTTATGGCATCCTTAGCCTTCAGGGTATGACCCTGTTGCCTTTGTCTCGCTCGTTTGCTGCTGAGACTACTAGGGACCCAGGAGGGGGTGGGTTATAAAGATATTCAAATCCTTTTGGTGAAACTAAGTATTTTCTCTCCACCCTCTTTGCCATAGATTGCAATGAAGCTGGAGTCTGCTACAGTGCCTTGACCGGTTCTAAAATGGCACTACTGAGAGGCAGAGCTACCCTTGATGGACCCAATGGTGCCAAGATATCCACCAGAGCATGGGAGGTCTCTGAAACTTCCTCCACCTCGATCCCCAGGTTTTGAGTGACCCTGTTCAGCAGCTCTTGTTGCGACTTGTGGTCATCTTGTGTGGGCACCATTAAGGTTCCTGCAACCGCCTCCTCCGGTGAGGAGGTAGAGGATATTAGAACCAGTACCGGCACTTGGTCTTGCCTGTGAACTCCTGATGGGTCCCGTGGTGCCAGTCCCTGAGGCACAGTACCGGGCTTGGTGCCTTGGTCATGTCCCTGTACCACTAGAGGACGAGGCAGTGCTGGGGCTCTACTTTCTGATGCCACTGAATATGACTTCCTCGACTGAGGTCCTTGGGCCTGGTGAAAAGCCCAAGGAGTCCAAAATGGCCATTGCACCAGCATCTGCCATTGTGCTGGCCAGCCCATTGGTAGGAATCCCTGAGTCGTGTCCTTTATTCAGCACAGTTGGCCCAACCAGTGACAGCTCCTTTGTGAGTCTGATGCCAAGGATTCACTGCCCAGAGACCAAGGGGGTGCTAGATGGTACCAGCAAGCGGTGCCGGGATGGGCTGTTGCATCATTGCCGGCTTTCCTTTTGACAACGCCTGGGGTCTTGGTACCGAAACTGTCCTTGCTTCCGGTGCCGGCTCGCGTCTAGTTGGTGATGGAAGTACTGGGAGGGACGTCAGGTCCCATGTTGCCTGGAACTCCTCAGCAATGCACGGGAGTGCCAGCCCTACACTCCTGTGGCTCTCCAGTGGCACTGGACGCGACAGCTCCCTCCCTGGGGTTGGGGTCAACAGTGCCACAGTACCAGTTGTTGAGTCTGAGTGGCCCTGTGCAAGTCTCACTCTGCCAGAGTCCTTATGACTGGTGGGCTTTGGGGTAGGGGAGTGCCCCCATCAGTTTTGCACTGCTTTTTGTGCAGTACTGGGGAACAGGAGCAGTGCCGCCTACTCTCCTGCACCAACCTCCTCTGTACTGGCAAACTGTGGCAATGCCGGGAGTCATGTGATGCTGATGAGGAGTCCTTCCTCAGTGCCAGAGAGATTGGGCTGCGGTGTCTGTCCCTCACAGAAGCCTCACACTCCTCACAGAGGCAGGGGTGCTCAGTGTCCAGTCGGGGTGACCCGGCTCTGAGGGATGAAGAGCCGCCTCCATCAGGAGGAACTTAAGTCTCTGTTCCCTTCCTTTTGAGTCCAGGGCTTAAAGCTGATATAAATTCCTCTGCGATCACGCAGCTGGGATTCACCCAAACACTTGAGGAAAGTGGAGTGGGAATCACTGATAGGCATAGGCTTGTGGCAAACCTCGCATGGCTTAAACCCCAGAGACGGAGACATGCCCCCATGCTGGAGCAGGAAAGAACCCATGAAGCAGGGTCCTACTCTATGCTACCAACTACTAACTACCGCAAACACTAACTACAAACTTTTATATAACTATTTACAGGAAAATGTACAAGAAAGTCCACTGGGGAGGGTACCTGCAGAGCAAGAAGGAGCAGTTCCAGCAACCGTCACAGGCAGAAAGCTGGAACTGAGGGGATGGCGGGGCTGCAGGCTCCTATATACAGCACCATGAGGGCACAACTCCTATGGGTGCTGGAGCCAACCCAATGGACACCACTGAGAGGAAAAACCTTCTGGCGATGGTGCATGCAGTGCACGTACACCTACATTGGAACGGACATGAGCCAGGACTCGAAAAAGAATCAATATATTTGAAAATGTAGAAAACATCTAAAAATATTTAAATAAATGGTATTCTATTGTTGTTTTACCGTGCAATTAAAACTGTGATTAATCATGACTATTCTTTTAATCTCACGATCAATCACAATTCATTTTTTTAATCCTCTGACTGCCCTAGTTAAAAATAAAATGATTTAAGATACAAATATCAGATGGTAATATTATTTGGGGGCTTATTATTTAGTGTTTGGGTATACGATTGTTTGGTTTTTTAAAAAGGAAATTCCTAAACAAAAATTCCAAAACATCCAAACGTTAAAATATGGGGAATACCCAGGTAAGCTAGCCAAACAATCTAACTCTGCCCTGTAGTGATAACATGAGGAACATGAAAAACCTAATATAGCTTTATAAATCCGCTTCATCTAATCACAAACATTATTATGCACTAATCATGTTTGGTTATTGCATGGCATAGCTACAGGCAAAGTTTAAGTTGTTTGGGTGCCTTAACTGTGCACTTCCATACATAAAATGTTTGGTTCTCCACTTGTGAGGTAACTCCCTTCTCTTCATGTGTTGGTATAATAATGCCTGCATCTGTAATTTTCACTCCATGCATCCGAAGAAGTGGGTTTTTTACCCACGAAAGCTTATGCCCAAATAAATCTGTTAGTCTTTAAGGTGCCACTGGACTCCTTGTTGGTTTTGTGGATACAGACTAACATGGCTACCCCCTGATACTTGACAAAATGTTTAGATTTGTTTTATGTTGAAGTCAGTTTCCTGAGTTCGTAATGCTTGTCTTTGGGATAATTACAATACCCCAGTGATGTTTTACTTCCAACGTACTGATACGTTTAATATATTTTTTATTCAGGAATATTTATGAAAGCTCTTCCTATTCTCCTGTGTCTAGTAGTAACACATTCTATATTTTTGCTGCATTTCTTTGTTCTCTGCAGGCTTAACAGACCCTGTTTATCTTATGTATTTCCCTGGTTCATTTTCTGTAAGAGTGCTTTTTGTACTAGGGAAAAAGCAGAGCAGTTTGGAACTATACCACTGTCAGGAGTGTCTATTGCCAACTCCACGCATTCAAAAATAATGAGATTTTTAAAAGTAATGCATTTTGTGTTCTTTTTATTTGTCATCTGGGTTGCAATGTTAGGGCTCATATTTTCAAGCTTTTCTCTACATCATAAGCACTGAAACTTACTGGTTTTGTATAAAAGTCATGTGTAGACAAGCCCTAACTCTGCATTTGTTTAATTACTTCCCTTATTCTTGATCAGCATCAATATATTAGAAACTCAGAGGGAACTTACAGGTCTGTTGTAAGTGGAGTGCCACTGACCCAGTAGAAGCCTTCTTCTCGCTTGCGCAATCCAATCCAAGAGTCTTGCATGTGCATACGCTTAGTGAGGAAATGCTAAACAAGACAATGTTTATATTAATTTGAATTTCCCCACTGGGCACTTTTCTGTACCCACTCAGGAGGGATGATTAGTCATTCTATCAAGGAGTTCTCATTGTTATTGCACAGAAAGTGATGGGCCTGATTCTGCACTTACATCTGTCTTACATTCATGTAACTCCAATGATTTTAGTGAAGTTACTCGTGGTTTACTCCAGTACAAGTTATTGCTGTTTATTGTTTACACTGCAGAAACACTTAGCAGTCCCAACAAGGTCAGCACCCCACTGTATGCTGTTCTGACATACAGTAAAAGAATCACTGCCTTGAAGAGTTTACAATCTTAGTTTAAGTCACAGTGTAATCTAACCTAACCTGAGTGAAACAAACAAAGAGCAGTGGAAGGTAGCAGGAAAGGGAGGACAAGGTAACAGAAATATGAGCATGTTAGCATGTGGAATTCATTGCCACAAGTTATCACAGAGGTCAAGTGTTGAGCAGGATTCAGTAAATCATTAGCTATTTATATGGCTAGCAGGAATATTCAGGATTATGACTGTAAGGGGGTTTATTTAAAAGATTTGGAAGGGATATTATAACAGACTGACAATATCCTGTAATATCCTGAACAAACCTTATGGAATTAAGATAAAGTTTATTGAATTAAGTTAGACCTTATTGAACAAGGCTTAATACTTCTGGTGTACAATATATTAAAAATGTAACTGTGTATATGTTGTTGGGGCATTGTATGTATCTTCTCTAATAGGAGGGGGATGCTAATCAACTTCTTCCTTCATCAACCTTTGAGGCCCCACGGGGAGATAAGCATATGTTAGTTCCAATTGGATTTTCCAGGGAAGAGACGACAAAGAAAAGAATTTTGGATAAAAGCCTGCATTTAAACTGATTCTAGGCCTCATTTTTGATGCAGCAAATGGACATTTGATAACAGCCTTCAACTACCTGAAGGGGGTTCCAAAGAGGATGGAGCTAGGCTGTTCTCAGTGGTGGCAGATGACAGAACAAGAAGCAATGGTCTCAAGTTGCAGTAGGGAAGGTCTAGATTGGATATTGGGAAACACCATTTCACTAGGACGGTGGTGAAGCACTGGAATGGGTTACCTAGGGAGGTGGTGGAATCTCCATCCTTAGAGATTTTTAAGGCCCGGCTTGACAAAGCCCTGCCTGGGATGATTTAGATGGGGTTGGTCCTGCTTTGAGCAGAGGGTTGGACTAGATGACCTCCTGAGGTCTCTTCCAACCCTAATATTCTATGATTCTATGACAGGAGCCCTAGTCTATGGAGGGCCCCAATCCTTAGGGGAGGATGGGAAGGACTTGGCTATTAAGACCTCATAAGATTGTGTGCTTGTTCTGACCTGAAGCTTTGATAAGCTTGTAACCACAAAGAAACTTCTAGAGTGGGGTGATGCCTGGTAAGCTTATTAGCATGCATGGAGGTTCTTTCACTGTTTTTAATGTTCTCCCTGTCATGCTTTTTACCTTAAGAGTAAAGTTGGCTTGCTTAGAAAGAGCTGTGTGGTAACTTGTATCTATAGTAATCACTCTGTTATCGGTCTCTGAAGAGAATGCAAGCAGGTCTGGTCAGACAGACTATCTGTGCTGGGAGATACACAGTGAAGGCAGGGAACTGTACAGCCTGGAAATACCCCAGTCAGAAGGGAGTGAGACACGGGGTCTCCACGAAGGAAAGCAACAGCTGGGCAGCTGGAAGCCAAAAGTGGGTGCCGTTGCTGAATTGCTGAGGGGAAATACAGGTGCAGTTACCCTGAACTTTAACAGATGTGCTTCCTACCAAAAGCTAATCGCCAACTAATGGTATGAAGAAGAAACTTTCACTGTGGGCACATTTATGTAACTGCCTTCTCCAGGGTTTCTTATACTTTCTTCTGATGCAGCTAGTATAATGGATGAGATGGATCACTGTTCTGACCCAGTGTAGCAATTACTATGTTCCTTTTTTTTTTTTTTTTTTTTTTATAGACTAGCTGTGATCAGTTTATAGGTATAGAGCACTGGTTCTCAACCTTTCCAGACTACTGTACTCCTTTCAGGAGTCTGATTTGTCTTGCATATCCCAAGTTTCACCTCACTTAAAAACTACTTGCTTCCAATATCAGACATAAAAATACAAAGGTGTCACAGCACATTATTACTGAAAAATTGCTTACTTTCTCATTTTGTCTAGATGAAATTTTTGTTTGCACTAACTTCGCTCGTGCTTTTTATGTAGCCTGTTGTAAAACTAGGTAAATATCTAGATGTGTTGATGTACCCCCTGGAAGATCTCTCCATTCCCCCAGGGATACATGTATCTCTGGTTGAGAACCACTGGTATAGAGCATTGTTACTGCTGAATTCCTTTCCAATACAAATAAATAAAATTAGATTAAAAAGCATAGACTACATTCATTCTTGATGTAAATTAGTGTAAATTGACTTCAGGACTGAATTATTTCCCTGTCACTATGTTATCACCAATAAAATCAGTAAATCAGATAAAACTCTGGCTTTCTGACCATATTCAGTGATTAAAGTAGGACAGAAAGCTCAAATATCAGTCTATCACAGAGGTGGGCAAACTTTTTGGCCCAAGGGCAACATCTGGGTGGGGAAATTGCTTGCAGGGCTGGGCAGGGGGTTGGGGGGCAGGGGCGGAGTGCGGGGAGTGGGAGGGGGTGCGGTGTGCAGGAAGAGGCTCAGGGCAAGGGGTTGGGACAGAGGAGGGGTGCAGGGTGTATGAGGGGCTCAGGGAAGGAGGTTAGGGTGCAGGAGGGGTGTGGAGTGCAGGAGGGGGCTCAGGTCAGGGGGTTGAGGTGCAGGAGGGGTGCGGGACGCAGAAGGGGGCTCAGGGCAGGGAGTTGGGGTGCAGGAGGGGTGCAGGATGCAGCAGGGGGCTCAAGGCAAGGAGTTAGGGTACAGGAGGTTCAGACTCCGGCCCGGTGCTGCTTACCTAGAGTGGCTTCGGGGTGGCAGCGGCGCGCATCAGGGCCAGGGCAGACTCCCTGCCTGCCCCGGCCCCGTGCTGCTCCACTCCGGGAAGTGGCAGGTATCGTATCCCTGCACGGCCCCTGGGAGTGGGGTGGAAGAGGGGCGCAGAGGGCTCCACGTGTTTCCCTCGCCTGTGGGTATCTCCCCCGAAGCTCCCATTGGCCGTGGTAATCCATTCCTGGCCAATGGGAGTTTTGGGGGAGGTACCCACAGGCAAGAGCAGCGTGCGGTGCTCTCTGCTCCCCCACCCCACGGGCTGCAGGGACGTGCTGTGGCCGCTTCCCAGAGCGGCACAGCGCCACGGGTGTGGCAATCCCATGGGCCGGATCCAAAGCCCTGAGGGGCTGGATCCAGCCCGCAGGCCGTAGTTTGCCCATCAGAAACCAAACTTTCCATAAGAGTACAGTATGTTACCTGTTCAGTATATTACTCAGAATACACAGGTTCAAGTTCTCATCTAATAATAAGTAATAATGCAGCAATGTCACTAGTGTTGATTAACCCAGTGTGGTTGGACAACAACAGGAAGGAATGAAGATATGTCCGTGCAAATGACAAAACAGTGAGTTAGAATCCAAGGAAGGCCAAAGTAGATCAGTCCCGATCTACACCAAGGGATGATCTACAGTCAAGGGATCTAGTCCCACCTTGGCATAGTTGGTGTGTATCTCTAATAGGGATGAAGACCAAAATGTTCAAATCTGGGTTATTTAAAATTAGGCAACTACATCCATATTTAGGCATTAAATAAAAGTGACCTGAAGATCCACTGCTCCCAGTGCGATAAGGAATTAGTTGCCTAATTTTAAGAACCCATGTTTAACACCTTGACCTAAGTGTGTGTCAAGGAGAACAGATGATACCTGGAGGCAAGGAACCACAAGAAACAGCAGTGTAATCATTGCACATCATTCACTGCTTTCCAGAGGGAGAAGGGAGAGATAGGAAGGGAGAAACAAAAGTTTACAGAATTTAGAGACTGGAGTGGTAAAGAACAGAGACCACAACTAGAGTACTCTCCTGCTATTGTAGTCCATACCCATAGCTCTGCGAAAGCACCCCCTTTAATCTAAGGAAATTTTCTCCCACTAGTGCCTGCAATCCAAGGAATGAATTGGGCTCATTGTTTTAAGATTCTGATGGCTGTCTTACATTCTTTTAAGGTGGTCAGATACCACAGGTATGGCCATGATATAAATATATTGACAGAGGAGCAAAAACACCACTCCTGTTGCCAAAATTCTGTTAGAAGGAGGTGGGTTAAACTAATGAGGCATTATCACTCATCTGTCTGAGACCATGAAAGCCCCTCCACAGAAATATTATTCCTATGTTATTACATGGTTTCAGGGAGATGACTAGGTGTGGAAAGGATATTGAAGAACTGTCCTTCACAGCACTGTCCCCCTTCAAACTCATTTTGATTTCCCTACTGGCTATATCAATAAGATGGAATCCCACTCCATGGTATCAAACTTCTTCAGTAAGACGATTGACCTAGTGTATCTAGAGAAACCATGACAGCTAAGCCATTGAGGCCAAAGGTTGTGGGGCCAGGAAATTGTGTGGATGCAGTGACCTCCATCTTGGTGCCTGGCCTTCTCAGAATGGTCTCATATCTCCAGGTTTTCCTCATTAATCTTGGGACCTCTATGATGTTGGAAAACCATGTCTCCCACTTACTACATGGAAAGGAGTACTTGTGGCAACTTAGAGACTAACACATTTATTTGAGCATAAGCTTTTGTCAGCTACAGCTCAGTTCATCAGATGCATGCAGTAGAAAATACAGTAGAAAATACAGTACAGAGAACATGAAACAATGGGTGTTACCATACACACTGTAACGAGAGTGATCAGGTAAGGTGTGCTATTACCAGCAGGAGAAAAAAACAAACAACCTTTTATAGTGATAATCAAGGTGGGCCATTCCTAGCAGTTGACAAGAACGTGTGAGGAACAGTGAGGGGAGGGGATAAACATGGGGAAATAGTTTTACTTTGTGTATTGACCCATCCACTCCCAGTCTTTATTCAAGCCTAAATTAATTGTATCCAGTTTGCAAATTAATTCCAATTCAGCAGTCTCTTGTTGGAGTCTGGTTTTGAAGTTTTTTGTTGAAGAATTGTGACCTGTAGGTCTCCTAACACGGCTGCTACTCTGAAACCTGTCATTACTACATGGAGAGGCAGTCTGTCTTCCCTCATCTGTACTTAAATTTGGTGGGAATTCTGCAGCCTCAAAGCCAAGGAGTCTTTCACATATGTGGACTCCGGGATTGTCTTCTAGGTGGGAAGCAGTTATCTAGTCTATAATTTGTCATTCTCAAGTAATAAAATTAATATGACTCATGATAGATGTTGTTTGTATGGGCCCAACCTTTTCTGGGGGTTTCTTTCTCCCCCATATTTAAAGGAAGACATCAGATTTGCAAGTAGATGATACTGGAAGGTGACCTCCATTTCACTGAACCGTGTTTTACAGGATCTGATTTCTTTACCACAGATCCATTCATCTCTGTGTCCTGTGAGCTTGGACATGCACTGGAGGGAGGAAGGGACAGGAAGAGTCAGGAGATTAATAATTTCACCTATAATTTGCAAGTTCAAATCCAGCCATCAGGGCAATGTGTGCATTGCTGCTGCCTCTGCTGGTGTTAAATAAAGGCCCTTGGTTTCCTGGACTGACAATCTGGCATCTTTCACTATCTGACTCACATAATTTTTTATTTTACAAAGATTTAAAAGGACAAATATTGAATGAGAAAGTGGGGACGTTACAGGAGCTAAGGGAAGAGACTAAATGAATTTTGTTTTTATTCCCTTACCATTTCTTGATGGTTTTCAATCACAGCAAGTGAAGCTTCATAAAGGGAACAGAAGCTCTGACTGGAGTCCCAGTCCTTCTCCTCCTCTGAGAGGTAATAACATTTCCTTTTGAAGTACAGCCAGTCCTCAGGGCATGGCTCAGAGGGCAGGGAGATGGGAGGTTCTTTATAGGAGAAAAGACATACAAATAAAAAGGGGAAAAATGTGTCATAGTTCTTTCTGATAAAATCTCCCAGTTCAGGTTCTCTGGGGCAGATTAATCCAGCCAAGTTTAGCCCTTCTGAAGCAAGATTCACAGTGAATGTCAGAGGAAAAAACAAACTAAATAAAGAATAATAATGCACCTAATCCTGCAAGCCCTTCTGCATGCAGAACTCCCATTGGTCTCAGCAGTTGAGGGAGCTCAACACCATGCAGGATTGTGCCCTCAGTGACATGCCCAGGATCTCAGTGACAGTCTCATCCTCCATGAGCACCAATGCACATCCTAGGTCACGAGCACCTTCATTACCGAAGGCACCAGAAGTTCTCTACCACTTGAGCTATACTTTAGCGGATAGTAGTAACAAGCTCTTATCTTCTTTTTGGGCCACTTCACTCACCTCATGTCAAAATAATTGGGCTTTATACATGTGAAGTACTGTGGAAAGGAGGAGGAGCTCGTGGGGAGTGAATATATGTCCCAGTCCCTGTGGCCAGAACCTCCTGCTGCTCCAGCTTCTCCTCACCATTTTTGTGTTGTGTTAGATCATTGGATCTGCACAATTGTCAGTCATGTAGCCATTCTCCCAGCCTGTCCCAAATACCACCTTCTGCATTGGCCCACGTAGGACTGGTGTGAAATCCCTTTCTGCAATGCACAGAGAATATAGAATCTGCTTCCATCTGCACAACCTCATCGGGGGCATAAATGGTGTCAGGGGCTTTGCACAAGGGATCCTCACCAGGGTGAAATTCACCCCATGGTGAATTATTATTTATGTCAGAGTAACTCCCAAAATATCTCACAGCACTGTACTGACATGTAGACAGATGTATTACTGACCCCAAAAGCTTATTAACCAATGGCAGCCATGAAAAAAGAGCTACAACAATAGATGGGAAAATTGGAGGATGGCCAGAGGAGGGTGTGATGAACTGGGGATTTTCCCTTGTTACATTGTATGTGTGAGTCTATGTGAGTTTTACTGTTTTGCATGAATACTGTGTGTGCCTCAGTTTCCGTATGCTGCACCAATGCCTAGGTGGTGGGAATAAGGGTGCGTGACTCTGGCTGAGACCCTCAGGGGGCAGGTGAGGCTGCTCCAGCTGCCTGTATGTAGGCGATGGTTGGTGCTCTTCATAACTTGAGACCCAGGAGGGGGATGCAACCAGGTGATGACTAGGTGATTTTGCCTGGGAAGCAGGACAAAGACAAGGAGAAGGAGCAACGGGGGTGCCTGAGGTCAGGTCGCTGGAAGCTGGCAGTCTGCTTGGGGGGACTGGAAGAGGGGGAGTCCAGGGCATCTGGCCCAGGACTTCCCAAGATGGACTTGGCTGGAAGTCACTGATTTCTGTGCTACCAAGCTCTGTTCTATGCTGTGTTCCTGTCGACTAATAAACCCTTTTGCTCTACATGCTGACTGCCGTGTTGGGGTGCAGGGCCCCCTGGCTTCCCCAAGAGCCCCATCCAGGTGGACTCACTGCGGGAAGCGCACGGTTTGGAAGGGGATGCTGAAAGCTCCAAGGTCAGATCCAGGAAGGTCGAAGCTGTGTAAGCTTCTTGCCCTGGTGACAGTATGCTCAGAGAAAGTAGGCATGCTACCCCAGAGTCCTGACTGGCTTTATACGGCATAGTTCCAGAGCATTGCCCTGGTGACTCCATGACAGAGGGTTGCAGAAAATAAGGTCATGTACACTTAAAATTTTACCAGCAGAGATACATCAGCTAGGAGTATGATTTTTACCAATATAGCTATGCCAGTAAAAGCCTTAGTGTAGATGCAGTTATATCAGTATGACAGTGCTTATGCCAGTATAGCTTATGCTGGGCAGGGAAACAGGCATTAACTATACTACTGTAAGTACTTTCATACTCATAGAACTTCGTCTACAGAGGGTTCACCTGGAGTTATGCACATCTTGTTACAAAATGTGTTTGACAACATGTATAAAACTCCCTTAACTCACTTAAATCCTCTTCCAGGGTAGAGTGCCCCTATATTCAAACTCCCAACCCCATCCTCACTCACCATTCAACCTCTCCATCCACCACCCTCTCTAAACATCCAACCATCCTCTGTCCTCATTCTACATGGCAACTCCTTGGCAGGTCATCCTGTGACCATTCCATACCTACTCCTAGCAGCCTGCTCCTTCACGAGTTCTCTTCCCCCCCCCCCCCCGGGCTATTGTGAAAGTTTTCAGTAACAAAACTTGATAAAGGAGAAAAAAAACCTTGATTATTAGGCAATACACTTGCCCTCTCCAATCCGGAGGCGGTACTTGCAGGAGCGGGCAGCACACGGAGACCTGCTGCCCCCCCTCCCCTCAGGGGGCATGCAGAAACGTGCCAGCAGCAGCCAGCCGCATTTGCTTGCGGGAGCGGTGTGGGGCCACGGCATGCAGGCAGCCTGCCTGAGCCCTGCTGCGCTGATGGCCGGGAGCCGCCTGTGGTAAGTGCCTCCCAGCTAAAGCCTGCACCTCGCACCCCCTCCTGTATCCCAACCCCTGCCTCAAGTCAGAACCCCGTCCTGCCCCCAAACTCCCTCCCAGACCCTGCACTCCCTCCTGTACCCCAATTCCCTGCTCCAGCCCAGAGCCCCCTCCTGCACCAAACTCCCTCCCAGAGCCCACACCCCTCACCATCTCCTGCACCCCAACACTCTGCACCAGCCCAGAGCTCACTCCTGCACCCAAACTACTTCCCAGACCCCGCACACCCTCCTTTACTATAGTAGGAATGTGCGGCCTGGTACAACTTACCAAAATTCGTGGAGTGGCCCCCCCGCAAAAATTATTGTCCACCCCGATCCAATGGCAGGTTGGTGTGGAGTAGGAAAATGGGATTCTTTCTGGTCTCCAATGAGTTAGGGGCTAGAGTTGGCTGAAAAAGGGGAATCCTTTTCTGGAAAAATTCTTTCCATTTTGAAAAAAGTTATGTCCTGAAGCTAAACTTATTTTCATCAGAAAATTTCTGACAGCTCCGTTAGGGTACACAGGGCTGCATTTCACCCTTAACAAATGTTTAACGAACAATACGAAAAAATAAAACATAGAAAAATAGCAAATGACCCCACAGAATGTTTGTGGGAAAGGGGCACAAAAGGTCGAGTTAAGAATAAAAAGGTAATTTTATTGCTAAATTCTCTGGATTTTATTAATGTGTGGGGGGGAATTAAACAGTTTTGGAATAGCAGACTTCATCATTTTTTAAGATTCTATATTGAAGTTATTCCGCCTCAATAGCAGCATCACATTGCTGTAAAGATACCTGACATAATAAAATGAAATGTTGCCTCCATCAATGGGAGTTCTGGCTTTAGGCCCCAGCATTTCCAGTATTGTTGGATACAAGTATTATTGCATTTGACAACTGAAGTCCTAGAGCATGATAGTTAGATGAAATGTACAGTACTTCAAATGGCAAAAAATAATACAAATACTTACTCAGGAAAATTACCAGGACCAATACCAAAATCCCAACAGCAACAGTTCCAGCAATGAGTTTCTGGCCTGAGAAAAATCCTGAAAAGGTGAAGATCATTAAAGGCTTTAACATGTGTTTCAGGTTTAGGACTACTGGCTGGAGTTAGGCTGTGCACCACAGAGCCAGATAAAGGAGTCCTCAGACAACGCTGGGACAATTTCTAATCTCAGTTACACCAATGTAATCCTGAGCAACTCCACTGCAGTCAAAGAAGTGGTTGCTCCAGTTTTACATCAGTGTAACAGGGCTTTTCTACACACAGAATTACAGTATTCCTGATTAATGTCACATGTGGACACTCTTACTATTTGCACATGGATTATGTATGCTAAACATGAAGAAAGCACTTTTCTTATGGAATAATAGTGGCCACACATGGAGTAATTCAGGAACAGCTACTGTGCTTTAAATTCACACCCTATCTTAATCAGGGTCAATTTTCAAGCATACACAACTCCTGTGTGAGATCAGAATCTGCCCAGTTGTGTCTACCTAGCAAATCCACCCAACGCAGTCAACCAGTCAGCCACATGTACATACCTGTAATCATGTTATATTAATGAATGCAGCAAGATGGGATGTTAGATGGGGTGGGATCTGAGTTACTACAGAGAATTCTTTCCTGGGTGTCTGGCTGGTGAGTCTTGCCCACCTGCTCAGGGTTCAGCTGATTGCCATATTTGGGGTTGGGAAGGAATTTCCCCCCAGGGCAAATTGGCAGAGGTTTTTTTTTGCCTTCCTCTGCAGCATGGGGCACGGGTCACTTGCTGAAGGATTCTCTGCACTTTGAACTCTTTAAACCACGATTTGAGGACTTCAGTAGCTCAGACATAAGTTAGGGGTTTGTTACAGGAGTTGGTGGGTGAGATTCCGTAGCCTGCATTGTGCAGGAGGTCAGACTAAGACGATCAGAATGGTCCCTTCTGACTTTAAAGTCTATGATTCTAATACAAGATGAGGTACTTGAGTGGGGTTGGGGGGGTGTGGGGTTGGGGGGCATGGGGTGGGAGACAGAGAAGAGTTAGAATCTCATCTGAGAGGAGCAAAGGGATACAAAGGATACCAGGACAAACCAAGGACAGTAGTGACTTGGATTTAAAAGGGCATGTCTACTTGAAATCTAATCAATTTAGAATATATATGTTCGTTAAGAAGGAGCCTCAAGCTCTATACCTGCTCCTGAATACCCCTACCAATTGCTGTGGTTTTATAATCACATTTTTCTAGTTTCAAAAAGTTTTGTTTCACGCCTGTTGTTGTATGAAAGACCCACACAAACAACAGGGAAACAAATAAACAGCAATCACATTTCCCATAGATTTTGGGGCCAGTTTGAGAAGTGCAACTTTCATAGGGGGCAGCCCCAGACAGAGGCATTCAAAGCCACTAACCGCTTCTGACTTTTTGGCCTTCCTGTACAGGGACAGTAGAGAGTTTGACTCAGCACAAGACCCCAGACCAGCAAAGGTATTTCAGTGGGAGTCAGGCACCTAAATACCTTTCAGGATCTGGGCCAATATGCTAGCAAATAGAAAGTAAATGGATATTCTTTCTCTAATCTCTTTTAGTTACAATAATTTTTTATGTTATTTGTAGTTAGTAGGAAACATTTTCAAAGAGAAGTATGATTTTTAATTGGCAGTATCCTTTTAAATAAGCAATGGCTTTACGTTTTCCTAGTGCACCTGTGATAATCCCTGCGTAAAGAGGTATGCTTGAAAGGGTGTGAAAGAGTGAGGAATCTATTGTTTTGTTTTTCCACTTAAATAAAAACACATTCTCTTAATCACAGAATTTACAAGTGTATTAAGATGCACTTGGCTGACAAGATTTATACTTTGTTCCTGAAAAACAGACCCATAATATTGCACAGTTCAAATGGCAGAATTTGGGACAGAAGGCCTGGCTGCACATCTTGAAAGCGAATCAACTGTTGGGGTGAGGGGCCTCACCACTGGATTTTGTGAGAGAGAGAGAGAGCGAGCGTCCATTCCATTGTGTTGTGTCCTTCGCGTGCAACTAGCGCTTGCAGCAAACTCAGCCCCCACCCGCACCCGATCGGGGCATCTCGCTAGGACCGCGCAGAACTCAAATCTGGGACTTCGGCAGTCTTTCCCAACCTGGATGTGGCGCCCAACTTCCCCCGCGATGGAGGTGTTCAGCGTGGCCCCTTTCCGAGATGGATGTGGGGGGGTTAATGTAATTAAACATTACAACCTCCTCCTGTAATATCGTCCCACCGCCAGCACGCTCCCTTTTCTCCCTCCCACACAATCCCCATTCTTTGGTCATCGTCCCCGAACACGACCTTTTCTCTTCTCTTCCCCCATCCAAAATCCCCCCACCCCCAAAGGTGGGCACCCTTCCCCCTCAAATGGTCTAGGCCCGTAACTGCAGCGGAGAGGAGTGGGGACAATTCAGATCGCACCAGCTCCAGTCTCCTGGAGTAAAAGCTCTTACCGGACACAGCTGCCTTCAGCCGACTGAACGGCTCCCCGCACAGCTTCCAGGTCCAAAAAGTTGCATTAGTCGGTAACGAAGGGCTCCCGATGGCAGGAGTACACCGAGGACTCGGCTCTCCCGACCCGCGGCGAGGCTGGGGCTCACTGCCGGCGCCGGGTGCCCACCGAGTGCCCTGCGAGCTGCGATCTTCCGGGGTTCCCGGGGGTGCTGTGCTTGTTAGCGGCTCTCTCTCCTCTCGGCCCTCGGGCAGGGCCCCAGCGGCTCCTGACGCAGCCCGAGGAGGAATCCCCCCTTCTCCTTCCCTCTGGGCCCCGACAGGCTCCATCCCCGCTGGGACGCGGCCTCGGAGTGGTCGCGCTTCCGCAACGATCCGGTTCCCCCCTTTCACTTTCACTTTCGTGCCCGGGCGCCCGCAGGAAAGGCAGCGGCTCCCCCCCGTAGCACCCCCCTGCTCTGCCCTGGAGAGGCAAGCAGGGAACGGGAAGGGGTGGGGAACGGGGAGAACAGTGCCTCCAGGGGGCGACGAGGGCAGAGGGGTAAAGGCGAAGGGAGATGGGAATGACCTGGGAGTAGAGAAGAGGTTACAGGGTGGGCAGCACAGAGAAAGGAGGGGATGCCATGGGCAAACAGCAGGAAGTGGTACGGAGAAGAAGGGGTGGCCTGGGACAGAGGGGAGAAGGTGAAGAGATGGCACAGAAAGGAGCCTAGGCATAGTTTGACGGCTATATTTGGGGGGGGGGGGCAAAGCACTGAAGCCATTCTCCCCCCACCTGCAGTGGTCCCGGGGCTGCTGGTGCCAGGGTCGGGGGAATGGGTTGGGATGGCTTAATGGGGCATCCCCAGCTACTGCTGTCTGCTGTGGCAGCCTGAGCAAGGGAGCTGTGGCCACTCTGGCAGCAGCTGCTGCCCCATTGTGCCTGCTCTGGTGCCCCTCTGTGCTGCTGCAGCGCGCGCTCCCTGCTGGGGCTGCTGCTGGGAGGACAATACATGCTGGCCTCTCGCTTCCCCGTGCCCCCCATTTCCATATCCAGGGATTTCCCTACACACACACACACACCCCTGAGTTTTCCCAACACCTCTCCCCCCACTATATATGCACAGTTATATGCAGTGTTGCCAATTTACTGGGTTGGAAATTTGAATTGATATTGAAACATTAATACACTTTAAAAGCATATACAGTATATGAGAAAATATTTTTACCTGAGAAAACATAATGGGTTTGAAAAGTATGAACAAGGACTACCTTCCTCACACAGCTGTTATTTATGACAATGTTGGTGAATTTGTTTGCGCTATATGGGCCTACCTAATCATTTCAAATTATGATTTGTAAGCCAGGTCTGAATGAGCTCTCCCCTGACATCTAGTGATGAGCCAGTAGTGGGTGGAAAGGCTTCAGGACCAGACTGTATATACATGAACACACTTACTCTGCCTAGGTATCCAGCAAACACAACTGTGCTGCTCAAGTGATCAATTTTGGCTGGTGTTGGGTTACAAATCACTTTAGTATTGAAAGTGGGAGTCATGAAATGTTATCCTTATTGTACGAGTAAAGGGTGGCAGAACTGTACTTAGCCTGCCTGAATTCGGGAGGGGGGTGTCTCCCTCAGTGCTTAATTTGTGTTAGGGCTTGCCAGAGCTGAGCCCCAGCACCTGTGGGCGTGGCAGTTCATAGCCCTGGGACCTCTGGGCTTGTCACATCAGTTATGAAAGTAAAAAACTTGCTTGAGCCCCAGCACCTCTGTTGTTACAAAGTAAGCACAGGTCACCCTCAGCTGAACTGCACTCCCTACACAGGAGGTTTGGATGCCATAGTCTAGTGAAGAGAGAGAGATGTTTTGTTTGGTGGTGTGGGCTCTGCCTAAAAGTCACAGGCAATATTTGACCTGCCCCTCTCTCCTGTTTAGAGATAGAGCTGATTAGGCTTCCTAGGGAGTCTTTTGGTTTGTTAAGTGACCACTTGAGCTGAAATCACTGATAATCAGGTCTGAGTGCTTAGATCTGCTGTAGGACAGTGTTTCTGTGGAATAGACAACCCAGCCTTCACTAGAAGTGAGGTTCCCCCACTGAGAGTTGAAATCACTGAGAGCTGGGTGGAACCTTGAGAGACCGACTCACAGAGGTCACAGTGGCAGGTGACAGCAGAAGGTGACAGTGCCAGGCCATTGGGGACAGAGCAGTGGAGTGAATGGTGGCACAACGAACAGCAGCGGCCAGAGCATTTGTTTGTTGGACTATGTTTTTGTGACTTTGCTCCAGAATGCCAGATTTGTGACTGGAAACTTATACAAATATACGTTTCCTAAAAGGCCAAGATTTTTAAAATGCATTATTTGTTAAGGTTGTTATCTCACATCATCGCTATCTCAAGAGGAGTTTCTGTACTAAACTTTATTATTTTTATGTAAGAATGGCCATATTGGGTCAGACCAATGGTCCATCTATCCCAGTATCCTGTCTTCTGACAGTGGCCAATGCCAGGTGCTTCAGAGGGAATGAACAGAACAGGGAATCATCGAGTGATCCATCCCCTGTTGTCCACTCCCAGCTTCTGGTGAACAGAGGCTAGGGACACTCAGAGCATGGTGTTGCATCCCTGCCCATCCTGGCTAAAAGCCCTTGTTGGAGCTAACCTCCATGAACTTATCTAGTTCTGTCAAGGTTCCTCCCCCACTCTGAACTCTAGGGTACAGATGTGGGGACCTGCATGAAAAACCTCCTAAGCTTATCTTTACCAGCTTAGGTCAAAACTTCCCCAAGGTACAAAATATTCCACCCGTCGTCCTTGGATTGGCCGCTACCACCACCAAACTAACACTGGTTACTGGGGAAGAGCTGTTTGGATGCGTCTTTCCCCCCAAAATACTTCCCAAAACCTTGCACCCCACTTCCTGGACAAGGTTTGGTAAAAAGCCTCACCAATTTGCCTAGGTGACTACAGACCAGACCCTTGGATCTTAAGAAAAATGAACAATCCTCCCAACACTTGCACTCCCCCTTTCCTGGGAAATGTTGGATAAAAAGCCTCACCAATTTGCATAGGTGACCACAGACCCAAACTCTTGGATCTGAGAACAATGAAAAAGCATTCTTTTAATAAAAATAGAAGTAAATAGAAATAAAGAAATCCCCCCTGTAAAATCAGGATGGTAGATATCTTACAGGGTAATTAGATTCAAAAACAGAGAACCCCTCTAGGCAAAACCTTAAGTTACAAAAAAGATACACAGACAGAAATAGTTCTTCTATTCAGCACAATTATTTTCTCAGCCATTTAAAGAAATCATAATCTAACACATACCTAGCTAGATTACTTACTAAAAGTTCTAAGACTCCATTCCTGGTCTATCCCCGACAAAGACAGACTACAGACAGACACACAGACCCTTTGTTTCTCTCCCTCCTCCCAGCTTTTGAAAGTATCTTGTCTCCTCATTGGTCATTTTGGTCAGGTGCCAGCGAGGTTACCTTTAGCTTCTTAACCCTTTACAGGTGAGAGGAGCTTTCCCCTGGCCAGGAGGGATTTCAAAGGGGTTTACCCTTCCCTTTATATTTATGACAAGTTCTTTTCTGAACCCTGTTATAATTTTGACCTTCACAACATCCCCTGGCAAAGTGTTCCACAGGTGACGGTGCATTGTGTGAAGAAGTACTTCCTTTTGTTTGTTTTAAACTTGCTGCCTGTTAATTTCATTGGATAACCCCTGGTTCTTGTGCTAAGTGAAAGGGTAAATAACACTTCCTTATTCATTTTCTCCACACCGGTCAAGATTTTAATAGGCCTCTATCATATCCCCGCTTAGTCATCTCTTTTGCAAGCTGAAAAGCCCCAGTCTTTTTAATCTCTTCTCATATGGAATCTGTGTCACAACCCAATGGCCCTCTCCCTCAGGGGGTCCCCTGGGGAAGGCATATCAGCATCATATGTTGCTAACACTTTTGCAGGCATTGCAAGGTATTTTGGGAAGGGTTAAAGGTGTGAGTGTGGAATGAAAGGTTCCTTTGCAGATTGTGAGTGGCCGAAGAGGGAGGGAGAGAGAAGAGAATAGGTTAACTTGACTCTCCAGCTAGGTCCAAAGATAAGAAGCTGACTCCAGCCCAAGGCCACAACAGACTCTTGGCTACCTGCCAAGAAAGATGGGTGCCTAGATTCCAACCCCAATCAGTCATGAGAAAGGAGAACTAAGCTGAGCAGTACTGCAGAGACTGCAAAAACTAGTGAGACAGCAAAGGCCAGCAAGGGGGGAAAACAAAGTCTCGCGTCTCTGAAGCCGGTGTGTTTTGGGAAAGCTGAGGAAGCTGCAGAAAGCCAGTTTGGACTGGGACAAAGGTCCCTGAATGAAACGCCCCCAGAAGAACCCAGGACTTAAAACCCTCCTGAGAGCTGAAGCAAGTCAGAGATCAACAGCGGACCCTGGATGACCTGTGCATAGGACAGAATTCCCGTCCCCCTCTCCCCCTCTTTTTCTTACGTTACACCCGGGCTTGGTCAGCCTCGGGTAGTACATGTATGAGTATGAAAGTGGGTTGAGACTTGAGGCACTAACACTTTCTTCCTTCCTCTGAGTGACATGGGGAACCCCCAGCACTCTCTGCTGTTATTTTACCTTGCTTTATTAATAAAGCTTTGAAATTTAGACACTTGGTGTGCTCCTTCATCCCCTCACCTAACAATCCTGCAGCCTCAGCCTGATCACCTGACGCCTCAGGCAGATTGGTAACAAATCTGTCACATCTGTTCTATACCCCTAATCATTTTTGTTGCCCTTCTCTCTGTACCTTTTCCAATATATCTTTTTTGAGATAGGGTGACAGAACTGCACGCAGTATTCAAGATGTGGGCATATTATGGATTTATATAGTAAAAGTGCAGGAGCTTGGTTTGCCAGACTGATCAGCCAAGCCAATACTGACAACCTACATGAAAAGGCTATGAAACACCATGCCTCTGGACTGCATCAACATGCAGAAAGCCTTATAAGCCAGTCACTGTCAAAGCCAATGTTAGAAGTACTTAATAAGGCTGTATGAATGCTGGAGACACAACTCAGTTTATGTGAGCCAACATGGCTGTTGCATCATACTTTCTATTTAAGCAAGAGATACCACACACTACAAACTGGAGGCCAATATTAAGTGCATTGTCACTTAGAATCATAGAATATCAGGGTTGGAAGGGACCTCAGGAGGTCATCTAGTCCAACCCCCTGCTCAAAAGCAGGACCCATCCCCAATTAAATCATCCCAGCCAGGGCTTTGTCAAGCCTGACCTTAAAAACTTCTAAGGAAGGAGATTCCACCACCTTCCTAGGCAACGCATTCCAGTGTTTCACCACCCTCCTAGTGAAAAAGTTTTTCCTAATATCCAACCTAAACCTCCCCCACTGCAACTTGAGACCATTACTCCTTGTCCTGTCCTCTTCTACCACTGAGAATAGTCTAGAACCATCCTCTCTGGAACCACCTCTCAGGTAGTTGAAAGCAGCTATCAAATCCCCCCTCATTCTTC